AGGTGAATGTAGGTACGAACACTTTTTGCGTCCGTTCGTTAGTGTCAGCCAAATAACGTCCACTGCTGGACAATGGCTTCCCCTAAGGATTTCCATAACGACATATACATACATACGATATGACATACGATACGTATACCTTCACCAGATCGTCGGTTCACCTGCGCTGCCCGCATTCAGGTACATCCCGCAACCTTCACCAGATCGTCGGACCTAGTGAGGGGCTTGCCTAACACTACGTCTTCTACGTTCCGTGGTCGTCCGTCACTCGAGAACTTTTCTGCCCCAAAGCAGGGTACTCATCTAGCCGTGTAGCATGTAATGTATCAGATACTGTATCAAGTGAGTACATAGGCACGAGCCCGCTGCGAACTGCTCGCGCGTGGTTAGCAGGGAGATCGTAGCGACCCGCCGAGTGGCGGTATCACTTCGAGCACAAAGGCGGCTCGCAGTAGGATTCAGGAGCTCACAGCCAGATACGCGATGACCGTGGACGAGCCGTACTCACTTGAAGGTTGGTTCCGTTACATGCTACGTTACGTGCTACATGGCAGGTGAGTACCCTGCCCAACGGCCATCAGCTCTACAAGCCTCCCACCCACTGCTAATTTTGCGTATGCTTAGGTAGGTAAAGCAATTTTATAAATGAAGGAGACAAAATAAGTGTATCATATTGAGCTAAACAGTATGAAAACTTATGGAGTTACAATAGACATTACATTTCAACAAAAACTGTGTAGTTTTGATGTACTGGCAATTTTACAGACAATAGCACATCAAGATAAGCACTGTAGAAACTTATGCACTTCTAATAGGTGCGATATTTCAACAAAATTGTATAGACTGATATGCTAGCAATTGTACACTAATAATAATAACATAATAACGGCTTTCTACAAAAAACTATTAGAAATCGCCAGAACAATACCAATACCATATTTCCTTAGATTAGTTTCCCATAGGTTTTTATAGGTGTTGCGGTAAGTGTGAAGATCAGATCGAAATGGGTTCATTCTCAGCTACTCCATTGTGTATTGATTAACTAGTGCACTAGTTAGTTTAAGTGTCAGTTAGGAATGTAGGTTAATAAACGCTATGGTTTCTTATGGGTGTTTATAAGAAATCGATGTAAATGGTTGTCGCTTTCTTGGAAAGGGAATAAAATGAAAATCCTTTGTTTTAATGTACGAGTAGGTTTTATAACACTTTCATTATATTCGGAATTTTGATCACTATTTATTTGATTTCTACGGTGTATGGTGGAACTACGAGAGGCAAATGAAGGACTTGCCCTCCACTCAACACGCTGACCAGACGGCTTAGGGAAAACCTGATGTCGCACATTTGTCGAACGTTGTCGCAGTCTAATAGTTTTGATAACAAATGACAGTTAACTTTCCCCCGGGACAAACTTGACCTTCACTGGTTGGGTTTTTATTGGCGGTCAACCTGTAGATACTGGCTACACAGGAGTTGTAGCGGTGGGAACGAGAGGTGGGAATAGTCCCGTTGTCCCTAAGTAGCCTTTACAACATTCACACCGTAGATTCCACGGGAAGAGTGTAAATAGTCCTTTTCTGCTGGAACTACACGGCTCGATGATAACCATATCGATAGTAGATCAACTAGATAATTTGACAATTCATAGATGTATTTCATTAAACACTTCACAAAACTGACGTATTAAAAGAAATATAAGCTCGAAACAGCACAATTAAGGCCTACTTATCGCTAGGAAGCGATCTCTTCATGACAACCCAAGGAGAAGAGCTTAAAATAAGGCGTTGTTAATAAATTAATGAATCCATAACTTTTTCAACGTAATCATCACTTTAAATAGACAATAAGGTCGTTCAGTTTCACACTTTCACGGAAAAGCTCGAGTCAAGCACCCTCGTGCGTTGAGTTATGACTCGAGCGATTTCAAGTGGACATTTGCCAGTTTGCGGTGCGGAGTCCGGACGGGCTCACACGAGCGTGCGCTCTAAATAACTGAGGTTTATGATTTAAGGACGATTTTATTGGTGGTCAGTCGCAGATGTGGAAGGTTTAATTTTTACTTTAATGAAAGGCAATAAGGTTTAAAATATTATACAGAGTTAAGCCAGTCATGTGTTGCAGGAATTTACTCTTATTACTGCAATTCCTGTGTAGTTAGGTGAATGGCTAGTTTTGGTTTTATTTCGAAGTTTCCTAAGACGATACTTTTAAATCTCTTTTTGTTAATATTTCTCGTAAATGCAAGGAAGTTCTTCCATGTCTCAACAAACAAGATCAGTAAAATAAAAAGCAGAAATAGATGTAAGCTGGATTGAATTTTGCAAAATATCACGATCATATTGTACAGTACCTGGAATAGGTAGGTCTTTTGATTTTTATAAGGTTTAACAACTTTGCAATTTATATTTATTTATGCTATTTGAGTACTTGAGTCTTGAATAAAACTTTAATAAATGCTTGTAAACAACAAAGCTTACCTTACATGATTTGAGTTTAAGTTGAAGAATGTGCAGCAATAGAAAAACCCGAGTTATTTCGTGAAACGAGTTCCTCGACAAAGCAGAACCTCCCAATGCGGAGCTGGAATGCAATTATTTTCCTATTTCAGCTACTTTTAGAACTCGTGCTCAGTTTTAGTCTCTTTTAGACTCGTTTTATGGAACGATATAGGTAAATTACACTCAAGGAATGTTTTTAGGCATTTGATTAGCGTTGATAATTATAAATTACCTATATCACTTGAGTTTGAATCAAACAGAGTGGATATTTCATAACGGGATAAGTTTTCGTGCGGAAATTAGCGCGGAAGTGAAGCAGGGCGTGGGAAGTAAAATTTAAACTGTGAAAATGTTTGGAGTTTTCATGGACACTCATTTACTTCTAAGCAAATCTTTGGGCTTTCACGAAAGAGTTCGCTCTGGGTTCCATGAAAATGATCGTCATCTTTCGACATTTCTTAGTAAGCCAGTTTTCAAAATCACCTTTTGATATTGCCTTGAGCTCCGCATCTAGATCCGCGAGTGCACGAACGTGACTGATCGCCAAATAGACCATACGAAGAATAACAAGTTTCAAAATTGCATTTCGTGCAGAAATTGGTTTCAAATGTGCATTTTGTTCTTTGAAGGATTCTACCTAATATTTGCATCTGTATGTTCTTGTTCTTGTGGCGTTTGCTTTTAATCCAGCCAGAGTAGTTATTAAACAGAGAAATCAGGTCTTTATTTCTTTTCCATTTAGATTTCTGATTTTTATCATTGATAATGACTTACGACTTAGCTGTTATGATTTTAAGACCTGTCAAACCTACGCACCTATTATATGCCGCAAAAAGTGTCTATAAAATTAAAAAAAAAATCGATCAATTTTCTCCTACCTAACTTTAAGGCCTCAGCCTCGAATTTAGCGGACAGCGGCGCGGGAGCGGCGGCGGCGCGGGAGCGGGGCGGGCAACGCAGACCCGTTCTCGAAACAAGCGGGCAGCTCGCGTGGCGCTTTAGCGGCGAAGTGTTGTGTTCGGGGTTGTGTTGTCGAGGTATTTGTTTTTATTCACAAACGAAATGTCTGAACAACGGCGACAATTTTATTTCGATTCAAATTTATTCCTAACGCTCGATTTATTGTGGGCAAAAGAAGGAGTGCGCTGCCCGCTTCGTTGCCCGCTCCCGCGCCGCTGCCCGCTCGTTGCCCGCTCCCGCGCCGCTGTTTTCGAGAACCGGTCTATTTGATTTTACGCATAAGATCCTGCCGCTCCCGCGCCGCTACCGCCGCCGCCCCGCTGCCCGCTAAATTCGAGGCTGAGGCCTAACGGTAATAATGTTTTATGTGTCGACTCCAGCTGAAAGGAAGCTGAACGTTAGTATTTACAACTAAGGCATTTCCAATTTCCGCCCCTTTACGTTTATGTCCCTGATAAGTGTAAAGGTTCTTACTACGACGTTTTTATCGTGTGTACCGGTTATAGACCACTTATCTAGTACCCTAGTGTTTATGTATGTACCCACGAATACATTTACCTAAGTGTCATTTAAATTTTTACCCGACTGCGCCAGAAGGAGGGTTATTGACAATGTTCATTCTGTTGTCTTTGAGCCCGGTCTAAAATTTCATCATCATCATCATTTCAGCCACAGGACGTTTACTGTTGAACATAGGCCTTCCCCAATGATTTCCATATCGCATGGTTTGCGGCCTGAAGCCAGCGCCTTCCTGTCACCTTTATGAGGTCGTCAGTCCACCTTGTGGGTGGACGTCCTAGTTACGCTGCGTTTTCCGGTACGTGGACTCCACGCCAGACCCTTGCTGCCCCATCGGCCGCCAGTTCTTCGTGCTATGTGCCTTGTCGGGCTATGTCTGTGACTTTAGTTCGTTTACAGATCTCCTCATTTCTGATTCGATCTCGTAAAGAAACACCGATCATAGCCCATAGCATTTAAAAATTTCCTACGTCATATTATGACATCACGAGCTTTTTTCATAGATTATGTGTACAGACAGACGACAGTACAACAAGCTAAACACTGGTAACTTATGCTTTGGTAATTAGAGCAATTTTCCAATGAAACTATAGAGTGATGTGGTGTTGACTGTACTTACACTTTACCTCTACATATTCTTGAAATCGACCTCATTTTCAATGTTTTGTGTGGAGTCTAAAGACATAGGTTATCTGTACAGTCACGAGTTTGAACTACGTGGCCTAAATAAAATTGGTTATAGTGAAAAGGCGAATTGAAATATGGCGTTATTTATCTAATAAAACAGCGTTTAAACTTTAGAAAACATGCCAAAATGATTATTTATTTTGCAGATAGCCGTTATCTTGCTAGAATAATTGTCATTAAAGTGTAATTTATTGAAATTGATAGTATAATACTATGTAAAACACACAATAACTATTTTTAAGTATCTTTAAGATAATTAAATTGAAAATTATTGCAATCAATTTGACCAGGAAGCCGTAAAACGTAACAACTAAAATAATTTATTTTCTTTTGTTGCAGTTACCAGCAAAACTGGCTTCCCTGTGAGCCGCTATGGATTCAGAGAGGTGAGTCAACCATGTTCAAACAATTTTTTCATCATCATCATCATTTAGTCTTTTAGTCATTTAGGTCATCATGGTCATTTAGTCTCCACTGCTGGAGCACGACCCTCAAATTGCCAGAGACAAATGGAGGATTTAGCCTGCATTCCCTAACGTGGCCAGACTGGTTGGTGGGACGTCTTAGTTGCCTCTTAACGAACGACATCATAAAGGTTGCAGGAAAGCGCTGGACGCAGGCCGCTACCAACCGGGCAACATGGAAAGCATTGGGGGAGGCCTATGTTCAGCAGTGGACGTCCTATGGTATGGCTGAGATGATGATGATGATGAACGACATTCACGGGAAGAATGCTCCTATTCTACTCTATTGCCGACTGATTAGTAAATTAACTGACTTAACACAAAATACTTTAACTCCGTAATAATCAAAATAAATATCCTGCCCACAAAGCTGTTGCTTTAAGAATCTCCATTTTCTTATCACCTTGCGTCCTCGCCTTTCAACTCTTCCGTGTTTTCTTTGTAATTTCATTTCTTAACCATTTTCTACTGCCTTCCCAACTAATAAGAAGTAACTCGCCCAGAGCCCGTGTCAAGTGTCAGTTGTAATTAAAGGTTGCAGGAGAGCAACTCGCTTTAAACTTTAATCCTTTTCTTGTAAACAATACTAATTGAAAAGTGGTATCCTTTATTTAACGGTATACCAAGCTAATAATAAATCTTATACAGTTGTAATAAAGTAAAAAAGGCAAAAGTCAAAAATGTCTTTGTTTGTATAGACCAAGGCTACTCAACCTTTTGAAGAGTGGGGCCAAATGGTGGATTCAGTCGTTAACGACGGGCCACTTATATTTCCTATTTTAGTGACTCAGGACAAGCGCAATAAAAAGTCAATTATTAAGATCAAACCATACTTGCGGGGTTGGTCAGCCTTGGGTATAGACCAGGGTTTCCTTTTTTTTTTGCCAAGGAACCCTAATCTATATATATATAAAAGAAAGTCGTGTTAGTTACACCACTTATAACTCAAGAACGGCTGAACCGATTTAGCTGAAAATTGTCAGGGAGGTAGTTTAGAGCCAGGAGAAGGACATAGGATACTTTTTATCCCGTTCGAAATAAAAAAAAGTCTGCTTATTTATTGCCATTAAGGCGAAACAAAGTTCGCCGGGTCAGCTAGTTGATTATACTTTTCCTAGCGGAACCCCCGTACTACTCCGCCCGCACGCCCTGCCCCTCCCTTGTGCGTAAACAAGTCGGTGCGAGCGAACAACGTCTGTCACGAAACGTGGGATAATATTTTTTACGGAACCCTTGCGGCCTTTCCACGGAACCCCAGGGTTCCGCGGACCACAATTCGGGAACCGCTGGTATAGACTATGGTGTGTCATAATCTTATTGTCTTACCAGCGCTTCAAGACCAACATTTGGCAAGTGCTGAGAAGAAGCGTCGCAACAAACTCGATCACCACTGTCTGCCGGTTATATCTAGTTACAAAAATATATTTTAGACACCGTATATTCGATTACTGAAAAGGTGTTGTTATTTCAATAACGTGAAAACCCTTTTCCGTGAAACGCCAATAAATTCAGTTAAAATATTTGGCTTACTTTAATAATATTTATTTATTGGAAACTCGATATTTAATTTGATCAGCCGTTGAAGTCGAGTCAATTCCTCGAAATTCGTATAATTAAATTTTAGAAAGAAAGNATACCTTTTATTTTAATAAACTGAATAATATGAGTATTATTCTTTACTGGAGGTGTTTATGGTGTGATAGATTTACAGATTCTCGTAGACCATCCAAAGGCTTTACGTACCTCTAGACAAGATGGCCTAAACTAAACTTTATGACGAAGTATATCTATACTATAATATAATATATATAATAATAATATTATAAAGAGGAAAACTTTGTTTGTTTGTTTGGTTGTAATGAATAGGCTCAAAAACTACTGGACCGTTTTTAAAAATTCTTTCACCATTCGAAAGCTACATTATCCACGAGTAACATAGGCTAAATTTTATTTTGGAAAAAATAGAGTTCAGGGGTCCACGCGCGCGAAGCCGCGGGCGGAAAGCTAGTGTATGTATACAGCTCGCTGTCTTGTGATAGAAAAAAGAATATGAGAAAGGTTAAGACATGTCTTGTCAAGCAGAAAAAGGATAGGTTTTATCTCGGTTTTTGAAAGGGAGTCAGAAAGTCTTTCTGTGACAGACCAATGTACAGAAAAAGCTAAAATTCCCGCCTCTTGTTCCCACCGCTGCAACTCCTGTGTAGCCAGAATCTACAGCTTGACCGTCAATAAAAACCCAACCAGTGAAGGTCAAGTTTGTCCCGGGGTAAAGTTAAACTGTCATTGGATCCGCAACGAGATTAATCAGAAGAATATGAGGAGTTCGAAGTTAAGGACAAAAGCTTAGTTTGAAAGTTCAAATCAGAAGTAGTTACTCTTAGTATAACCGTAAATTGTCCATTATGTCCCTTAACCGTCAGCAAACGATTCAAAATGGATGCCAGACCAAACCTATATCAATTGCTTCCTATTATCAATCCGCAAATGGCAGTATGGCAGGAGATAAATGGGTGACGTCTACAGCTCGTGTTGCTCTTTCAAATTGCCTCAATTATCTATTGATTACCTTTTAAAGAAATTACTTTAGATGGTGCGCTGAGACCCTGGATTTATTTGGGCAATACTGTATCTGACTCTTTCACACATTCTGAAATGTGAGAAAGACAACAGATTTGTCCTTTCATAATTTCGATTTATAGCTGATTCATTAAGATAATTTCTACTTGATAAAACTATGCGGAACAAAGTGCCAGAAGCGTAAAAGTATGTACTAATATCAAAATTCTTCAAAAAATTTTTAAACACACAATGCCTAATGCGGCAAGATTCAGTAAGTCAAGGCCTGTGGCTGTTATAGAACTCACATAACATTGGAAGTGAGGTGTGCCTATGGAATTACTTGGTATATAGGTAATTTTCTTTCGACCGACTCTTGACACGTACTTAGTCGTCCTCGACTCTATTGTTCTTCTTTTCCCATCGGATCCTTGTAATTTTAAAATACACTAAGAAAATTATTTTTAATTTTAATATCGTGAAACTCGCGTACCCGTTGGGAATCAAAGTATGAACTTACATTCTTTGAAAACATAAAGTTCCCAAAAGTCTACCTTTGGGATTTAGCCGTTTCAATTTCAAAATCCATGGTTTAAAAGCATAGATTTTCCCTACTGAAACCGGCTTCCCCTATGTCTACCTTAGCCATTGTCAGCCATTTTATACGCCATTGTCTGAGGTCGCCTGATGGGTTCCTGATGACCCGCTTTGTCATAAGTTGTAAACAACCCTGGAATGGCGAGAGTGAGAATCCAGGGTAATTATAATTATAATTTAGGGGAAGTTGCTGGAGCTTAGTTTATGGGATGAGGGCCTTTGAAGGTTTTATGGCGGAGTAAAATGCTGGCAATGTTTACAAGCGATTACCTGTGGCTATACCTTTTGTGTTGGTTGATCTAGAGTGGTAAGTTTTGACGACCGATTAGTGCAGTGGTTGAGAATTCGACTATAATTCAGGCAGTCGTGGGTTTGACCCCCCGCACGCTATAAAAATTTGTTCATGAACAGATTTATACTTTGTTTATTAATTTGTTTTCAGTTTTGACGCTTACTTACTTTATTTTTATTTCCACTCCATTTTCAATGCTTTTTTGTGAATCGTTTAGGTCTTAGTATACCCATTTTTTTTACTATGAAGGTTGTTACTAACTTGATAAATTATGTGTTCACACCCTATTTATTTGTTCAAACTAACACTGAACTTAACTCTAAGCCTGACCTCTATCAAACAACGATATTCGGGTCAATTTATGAAGTTCAAGCTCCACCACAAGGCAAAGCTCAACTATTTAAGGGCCTACGATGACCTAAAGACCTTTAGGGTTACGTGGGCTCCCTTGGGATACCCCGCTAAGTGAGATGCCTATAAAATTTAAGGCTATATTCAAGTTCTGGTGTCGGGTGTTGAGGTATTTGATACGGGCTTGTTGAAATCCGAAACCCGTCTGATCTTTAGCCAAATCCTTTATGCCTCTGGTAAAGAGAGGGTTGACTATTATGACCTCATGATTCATGAATCATCATCATGGAATTTTGTCTCCAGTATAACAGTGACAATAGTCATGATGATAAGTAATGATGTAAGAAAAGAAAGAAATGGCTGGATTTGTTGAAGTAGATGGAATTATTTTGTTAATGAGATCCCGAGTTTTAGAAGAAACGTTATTACGCTCATGTTAATCAGTGAAATTAAATCAATGTTATACAGGTTTAGTCCAGTCAATAAAGCATTATAGATGGAAATCCGTGGAACACAATTTTTGACTTCGGGACTTTATTTAGACTAGTTAGGAGGTGAACATAGCAAAAGTCCCCGCCCTTAGCCCTTAAGCCGGCGGGGAGAGGGGGGTTTAAAGGTACCACTTTCCGGTTTTTCGCTTAATCCTCGGAAACTATGCGTCCTAGTGACATGACTACTATGAACCAAAAAAAGCTTATTCAATTTGCTACAGGTGAGATACTCAAGTTTTTCTATAACTTGTATAGTTTTCGCGGCATCTGCTCTAAAAGGTCTGTAATATTGGAAATTTTATATTTGTCTTACATGTTTCCATCAGGAGAAAATCGACTAAATCAACATTGAGCTAATATTCTAGACGTGCCGGAGCATGTTAAGCCTAGTTCCAGGGAGGGGACTGCACCGTGCGTATATTTAGACGAACCAATTGGAGCCACTTTTGACTCCTCATCACTCAAAAAGTACTGTGCATTAATACTTCAAATTTGGCTCATGTGTTGAGACTTGCAAGATAAACATCAGCTTCAAATTTCATAAATATACCTCAAACGGTTCTTTAGGTATTGACGTCCAAAAATCTACATGGCTGACCTATAAGACCAAATTCTAACCACTTCCAGATGACCTA